ACACACACACACACACACACACACACACACACACACACACACACACATATAAACGGCTCACAGATAAAAAATCTAAATTAAGCAAATCATATTATAGTTCAATGTAATATGTGAATCCGGGCATGGAAGGGCTGACATTTTTCCCTACAGTTACTAATTTTCTTAGCCAATTAGGTCTGGTCATTGGATAGAAAAGATCCTGTACGATGGATAGACAGCTGTATCCCCACACAAGCAAAAAATAATCCCCTTGTCTCTTCTTTAATCTTTGGTGTAATAGCTATTTCCAAGCTTATGCAGATAATACCGCTTATTATGGATAGCATGTATATTATTATATAGCTTTGCTATTTAGGTTGCCATCATTTACAGACCCTCTGCATGTGGCAAGTTCCAAAAATAGAAACTTTATTAATGGCTCTTAGGAATGTTTCCAGAGATTGCACCGTAATATAGCCTAAGTTGAATGGATGAAGATAGCAGCAGCTGTAGGTAAGCTAACTCTGTCAATCCTGTGTAATATCTCACTGGGAATACTATTAAATGTGGACAATCTAGAGGCTTAATTTTCCCTTGACAGCACCACATAAAGGAAGACAATGGGAGGCAAAAATTAAACAATGTGCATTATGTCAAGGTTACCTTGAATCATATTGATGTCTGCTGGGTTGATAGGAGCTGCAACCATTTTCACGTGGACTCCAGAATCCCCCAGTTTAGCTAAAGCTACGTCTTTTAGGCTGCAAGGGAAATGAGACAGAATATATTTATTATTCTTAAAAGCTTCTCTTTGCCAGCAAAGAGATTTTGCAAGCATTTCACTCACTGGCAGTTTGTCAGAAGACAAGCTCCATCAACTTGTTCATGGCACCAACCTTTTTTTTTCTTTTCTTCTTACAGAAAAGGAAACATATAAAAGTTGCACATACAGACTATATATTAAACCATACTTAGGGTTGGCGTTTGTATGATGATCTGTATGTGCAACACCATACCTCCTTTTGAAGCCAATGCCATTTTTCTACAAGTTTTTATTCTTTCGCTTGAAAACCAGTTTCATCTATAGTTACAGGTAGTCCTCGAATTATGACCAAATGGTTTAATGACAATTCAAAGTTATGATGGTCTCAGAAAGAACATTTCCGGCTGTTCCCCCTCCCAGTCACAGGACCATATTTTGGGCAGTTGGCAACTGACTCTCATTTACAACTCTTTGCCAAGTGCCCTGTGATCATGTGACCATTTGGAGGCTTCCTCTAATCCGTCAATGTGGAAGCTGGCAAGGATAGTTGCAAGTGAAGGGAGGAGGGCTGAAATTCCTTGGCAGGCTGCAGGAACAGAGCTGAATTCCAGCTCCGTTCTTTGAAGGATTCCCCCTCAGTGCACAGAGAGGAGAGGAGCTCTTTATGGGACCTTGGGAACCAACTTTAAATTCTGAAAAATTTCAGTCATTCCTGCAGGCCCCTCAAAGGATTTCTCCTCCATGCAAGGAGAGGAGCTGAACTCCTGTAGGCTACAGGAATGTTTGAAAGAAAAAGGGCTGCCTGCTGGAAGAGTTTCAGCTCCACACAGAGCTGAAATCTTTCAGCAGGCAGCTTTTTCACTCCATTTGCTTAGTGTCCTGTGAGATCATTTAATGACTACAACTGGGAGTGCAGGGATTGCAGTTATTGAGCCAAGCAGTCACATGGGCATTTTGCTTAATGATTGCTTTGCTCAAAGACCAAGATTCCAGTCCAAATTGTACTCATAAATTGAGGATTACTTGTACAGATTTATTATTAGTCTAAAATGAATTCACTTAATTTTGACAGATAATACTGCTGGCCCTTTTTCTAATGATGGCCTTCCAGTTTGTTTTCTTTAAAATCTAATTACTGATTATTCTTTCCCCGCTGTTTAGTACAATGTCAGCTTATTACGTGCTAGCAAAATACTACTGAAAATGTTTAGAGTTAATTTTGTTTTGTGATAAAGTAATGAAGATTCCAATCTATAGTAGCAATGTTAACATCACATCTCAGCAAAAATATCAGTTTGAACATAGAGGACTGGAGAATACTGTTTTAGTATATCTATTTCTCTTAGATGCTATATTATTTATTAAATGCTAAATTAATTTTATTAAATGTGACAATTATTTTTAAATTAAAAAAATGTTTTCTGTTGGTTCAGCTGCTTTTATCTTTCTGATTTATTTCAAAAGGAATAAAAGCCAGCTGATTCTATTACAAAATAAAAAAATAATTCTCAATAAACCTGGAAATTCACAGGTTGCATTAAAATACCTACTTGTGGGATTTGAATCACTCAGTACAAAATTTTCAGCAGAATCGACATACAGAAAGCAATATATAGAAAGAACACATTCCAGTTTTTTAGTCTTAGCCCTACTAAACACAATAGGTTGGTAAAATCAATTCAAATCAGACCAGTGGACTCTCTAACCTGCTATCAGATTATAAACCAATCTAGTTTTAGATTACTATATTTTTCCCTTCCATCACACCAGTTGATAAGACATAGGAGATATGCCTGATAACACGTCTTACTATTTATCAGACCTGAACATAGAAAGCATTGTTTAATTTCTTCATGAAGAAAAATAAAAGTCACATACTGCTGGAATTAAAATGGGACTGGCTGTTTCAACAGAACAGTCCTGATATCTCAAAAATGTTCAATCTGAGGTAGTTTTAAACTAATGGACCCCAAACACAGTTGTTCAGTTTCAACTATTAATGCCATAGGAATGTTTATATAAGCTTTTCAGTATAGCAACCCAAAGCCTTTTTTAAAATTCCAAGTAACATCTGTGCCTCACTCAATGAGGTTTTATGGCTTACTTCATTCTGAAATTACTGCTTATCTGTTTGAACTTAATTAGAATAGAGTTATCCATCATCCATATGGCTGTGGTCTTACTTTCTTTCTGAACCACAGCCTTGCTCTATCATTAAAATGAGTACTATATATTTCCCTGCTTTTCAATTCCATCCTCCCCCAAGAACCAAATAATTTCCCCTTCAATTACCAGTAGTTTACAGATTCAACTGGGACGGTGTTGGTCTAATGTTTCAAATATTTTAGACTCCTTTTTTATATAATTAGTCTTATAAAAACAAAAGATGCAGAATATGAAATAATAAGGTCACCAATACAATACAGCCCCTCCTTAATTCACAGCAGTCCATATAATACAATAAATTTGGGTGGCTATATAAATTGAATAAACAAGCAAACAACAATATAATAAATGCATCTCAGCTATAAGAAATTAGAAACTAATGGATCTTTAAAACCTTAAGGGAAAGAATAAAGCCAATTTTCCTCTGGGATGGAGCTGCACAATGAAGGGGACATGACCGAAAAGATTAATTTTCAACGTCTACCAAATACTTAATAATATATCCACAAGTCAACTAACATGTCTCTGATACAGATTTTAAACCCAGGGAAGTTTAGGGTAATACATGTAGGTGTAAGGTAGGGCAAAAAGGAAGCTTCTATGCATGCTAGTTTTCTAGAAATAAGATGTTTTTGGAAGGGGACAGCAAGTTTAATTTGTTAGTAGGATAACATTCAATTATATTTTGATTTGCAATCTAAAGAGATACAAATACAAGAAACATTTTTTAACAAAATCTTATGCAGTGGTGGTGGAAATGGTTAGAATGCAGTATTGCAGGCTGACTACTAAGAGTTCAACCCTAACTGGCTCAAGGTTGACTCAGCCTTCCATCCTTCTGTTGGAAGGAAAATCCATTTGGTTCAGTTCCAAGCTGGGAGAAAGACACTGGAAATAACATGGAAGGCTGATTGGAAAGAAAGACACTGTTTATTGATGAGGAGAACCACAGCATGCAGTTCTGGAGCAGCTGACTAAATGGTTGAATGAGTGGATGGATCTTAATAAGGGGTTGTGCAATGAAGGGGCTTGTGTCTTTTGCTAAATGATGGTGGGCTAATCCTATTTTGTCCTAAAGGGTCATGTCCTGTCCTTTCTTAATCCTATCACCCTGGAGCTGAAGATGGTTTGTTTATGAATGGATTGGACATGATTTCTTAATGGGCCCAAAACCTCTATCTCTAAAGATTTCTGCTGGAAGCTATTTTACTATGCAAGAAATTGGGGCTGGAGCATGTTTCTCCATTTCTCCCTTTGGGAAAATATAATATTCTGCTTCTTTTAATATCCCCCAAAATATTTCATTCTTCAAAGGAGGGGGATGGCTTCCCACACTTGCGAGGTTGGGAAAAGGAGGACCGAGATTGTTGGGGATAATATGCTGACTTGGCAAAACCACTTAGAGAGTTGTAAAGCACTATGAAGCGGTATATAAGTCTAAGTGCTATTGCGAATGTGTGTCCTAAAGTAATAAAGCACATGCTGGACTTTTTAAACTTTAAACAAGATTTAAAAGTATTGTTGGAAGAAATATCCTTCTGGGTTCAGTTCCAAGTGGGGAAAAAGACACTGGAAACACGGAGGCTGTTTGGAAAGATGGTTTAATGGTGGACAGGAGGACCACATGGCTTGGAGCTCCAAAGTGAAAAGGACATGCTTCAAGATGTTGGGTGAAGAAAAAAAAGAAAGGAGCTAGTTGCTGAGAGACCCTTAGTTTTATACCCACTGTTGGGCCCCACCTTACTGTTTCCTGTTCCTGTATAAGAAATGTGTCCCATTGGCTCTTAGCTAACTTTGTAGGCTTTGTCTGGACCAGAGTCCCAGGTTTCGTTGAGCCTTGTTGGATAATGATATGGCTCTACCTGAAGAAGGTAAATCTTTTGTTAAGTAGAATAGACTGGCCCAGCCTTAATGACCCCATTAGCAAAGGCGGGGGTAGGTGAGTTCCTGCCTCTTTGAGATGAGTTTCTGCTTCTGAGTTTCTACTTCTCTTTTAGGGGAAATTTTCTGTCTTTTTAATTATACTAAAGTATTTCATTTTTCTAGGAGTGGGGGGTTCAGTGGTCTCTCTCTCCCCCTCTCCCTCTCTTCACCATCTCCCTAAGCATTGCATCCTAGGCATTCCATTGTTAATTGTAGACTTTCTTCTTCAGCTTGTGCCGTAAGTTGGCGATCATGTTGGCGATCCTACTTTTATCAACAGCTACACGAAAAAGTGCTGCTGAGTTTTGTCCAAACCAGCCCCTTGGATTTTGATAATTGTAGATAATTTGCTATGATAAACAATTTTGGTTTACTCAGACCCCGCTCAAACCAAAGCATTTCACAATATAACCCAAGACTGCTAACAAATGGAAAATTCAACCCAGTAATGTTGATTAAATCTTTTACTTTTGCAGCTTAATTCTAGGATGTTTGCGAGCTAACTTTTTCCAGTCCATAACAGGTATGTGGCTAATTACAATGCTAAGAGATGCTGGATGAATAGGTTTTGTGGCTAATGAAGAATTAAATATAATAAAACTAGCACAGAGAAAAATTGCATCTCATTATGTTGCATAGGCCATCTTTTTTCAATCAATAATTTATAGTTTCCTTGAAAAACTGATGTTATAATGGAAATACTGATGGACCATTACCACATAGCCTGCAAAGTATGATAGAAACCTAATTGTCCAGATTTGCTCAAATATATTATACCACTCAGCTGAATAATGGTCACTTGTTGCAATCATCATGTAAATTGTATAAGAAACCTGCTGCTTAATCTAAGAGTTGCTGGCCAGGGAATTTTACTGCCAATATCATATTTGATTTCTTTTCTGGACATAAATTAAATACCACAGCAGTGCTTGCAAAAGAATGAGTGATGGAACAAGAGTATAGGATCACTGTAAGCACAACTTTCTTGAATAAAAAAAAGAATAAATCTTCATGAGGCAGCTTTTTCTGAAATCTTTATGACAGCTAAGTGAGATGTACTAACAACTGTCCAGTCTCCGCTTTCTTACCTTAGACTTTATTTACAGCATTTCATTTTACTGGTTCTTTCTTTCTTAGGACTGGAAGCTAAAACACACGAAGAATGGCTGCAGGAATTGGGTTTGCCTAATCTAATGAAAAGAAGGACTGGGGTGACATGAGATCAGTGTTCCAATATTTGAGGGGCTGACACAAAGAAAGGGGGGCGGGTGTCAACCTATTCTCCAAAGACCCTGAAGACAGAACAAGAAACAATGGATGGAAACTAATCAGGGAGAGAACCAATCTAGAATTTAGGAGAAATTTCCTAATTTCCTAATAGTGAGAACAATTAATCAGTGGAATAGCATGCCTCTAGAGCCTGTGAGTGCTCCAACAGTGGAAGTTTAAAGAAGAGATTGGACAGCCATTTGTCTGAAATGGTATAGGGTCTCTTCCTTAAGCAGGGGATTGGATAGGAGACTTCCAAGACCCCTTCCAACTCTATTATTTTGTTTTATTAATTTATTGTTGGTCTAGTTCGTATGTTTCTGCAGATTGCTCAACAAGCACAACTTTAAGATACTTAATATGCCCTGGGCCCCTTAGACTGCTTTACTAGTAATATTTCTTCCTTCTCGACTTACTTTCTTATCATGTGGAAAAGCAAAGCTATCTGGGCTCCTATAATATAAACCAACCTTAGCTATCATCTTATTGGCTTTATCTGTATAGTACAGCATGCTTCAATGGTTGATTGTCCTCCTGGTTTTAACTGAACAATTCAACCACCACAACAGCTGTCTAGTGTACATTGTTTTACCTAACTAGAGAGAGGTTTTATACACACCTCTTGACCCTTTCCTCTTAATGCATTTTACTATTTCTTGAAAAAGAGTAACATTTACAATCTTTATATCTCAGTTAAGGCACATAGCAAACATTCAAATCAATACAAGCTGTTTAATATAATTTGCTAGCCTGAAAATTTGCTACCAAACTCCTCTTGATTTTGGTTATCCTAAACTTGCATAGCTTTCTTTGTATAATATCAACAAAATGCTACATAATTTGCTGTAATTCCCTTTTTATAACCCCAGGCCTTCAAAGCTTGCTATACTGCATTGAATTTAATATCCATTCTTCAAGCAAACGGAGACTTTTGGCAAATTGACAATGGCAATTTAGAATGTTTACAAAAAAATCCACCACCATCCCAAAATGTAGATTCAGATTGGACAGAGAACAATTACATTCAATATTTGAGCTGAATGAAAAGCTCTATTCCAAAGCTCTAGATGTTTTTTTTTATCAAGTCAGAATAATCTACATGGAACATATTTTAATAATTTAACAATATAAGAATTTAAAATCTCATCAAAGCCAGAGAAAGTTTTGCTTTTTTAAATATATAATTTGTACATGGATTATAAGAATAACAATAATATCTACACTGAAAGCAAAGTGCAACACAGGACAGCTTAGCAAATTGGGAAGAAATCCACCGGGCTGCCCTATTCTCCTGCCTTAATCCACATTTCTTGAAAGTGGTGTCCTTAGTACATTTACAGCCTGCTTTCAGCCTGTAATATCTGGCTGATATTAGAAAAGGTTAGCAATACAAATAATATAAAGAGACCGTTTGATGTAATAGTGAAAGTGTTGGCCTAGAAACCAAGACTTGTGAATTCTAGACCTCCTTTAGGTATGAAAAACAGTTGGGGGACTTTAGGCCAGTCCCTCTCTCTTAGCCCAGTCCACTTCACCATGTTGTTGTTATGGATAAAACAGGAGGAAGGAAAGAATACTATGCATGTTTATTGCCTCGAGATATAGATAGGACAAAATAATAATGCACAAATACAATCAAGGCCAGAATTGGAGAAAAAAAATCAAACCATTCAAAGTGCAGATTGTGCAAAGAACTAAAAGAAACAGTAGCTCATATACTCAGCTCCTGCAAAAGCTGTTCACCCAAACTGTCAATAAACAACACAACAGAGTTGCCAAACTAATTTACTGGGATATCTGCAAAACATTATCATGCGTCAATAGTAAAAACAAAATTGGTGGAAAAATACAGTTGAAATAACTGCTTGGGGGAAAAAAGGAAGTGTAGATAATTGACGCAATATCAGAGGGGAAAAAAAGCAGAAGACCAAGAATTGGAGAAGTTCACAAAGTATCAAGATCTAGATTATGGCGTAAGCCAAGCCACAGTGGTCCCAGGGGTTTTCAGCACACTGGGTACCATACCCCCAAAATCCTGGAAAATCGGTGCATGGCAAAATCCCCATCTGTCAATTGCAAAAAGCCATCTTGGCTGGATCCGTAAATACACCACATTGATATATCAGGTCATCCTAGGTTTTGGGGAAGCACATGAGACATACGGCAGCTGCGATTTCACACCGTTGTGCACAGAATAGTAATAAAATCATAATGCATCTTGCGATTGATGCCTATCTAGAATACAGCCCCACTTCGGGGCAAAAGGAAGCCAAGCCCAGCCTTTCTCCGCTTACTGTAGGACCTGAGCCGGCTCTCCATGCTGTTCATACACCAGTCCTCGAGGCCCCGTTTGCGTCGCTGCCGCGGTTGACCGGGCGCGGAAGCCGTAACCAAAAAAGAGCCGCAGGGCTCGAACCGGCGATCCTCCGACTACCGCCATGCTAATAGCAACACTAGCTAGAGTCCGCGGCTCAGCGATGATAACGACACACCACTTTACTAGGGCGGTTTAAATATACGTCATCACAGCACTAAATTAACGCACTGACTCCGCCCCGATTCCGATCTTCCGCGTTGTGGCCCCGCCCCCTCCATGCTGCCAGCTATGGAGAAGTTTTGATAAAGGGGATGCTATGTTGCCTGCCTGTGTGTGTATGCACACTATAGACACACACACACACACACACACACACACTCTATATATATACACTATATATATATTAATAAAATTTATTGTACACACATATTATATATATATATATATATATATATATATATATATATATACACATTTACACATACATGTGTGTCCGTGTGTATGTATACACACTATACCCACACACTATATACGTATATATTAATAAAAAATTATTAATTAATTATACACACACACACACACACTATTCGGGCTTGTATGCCCTCATCAAATTCTCTGGGTGATTTACAATAACGGGAAAGAAATCAGTAAAAATAATGCAGCTGTAAATCGCAACCTATAGCGCCGGGTGTGGATATCTCCACGCAGAAGGAAAACAGACGCCTTATAGCTCAGCGAGATGTTATTAAATGAAAGGGAATGAAGTTTTATGGTGAGCTCGCCATAGCAACCTATCATAATAACTGACAAACCTAAAACAGAAATGTTAGGGTAATTGCAAAAGACGAGAGTATAGACAGCAGCGTGCGCGTCTCAGCAGAGAAAGAAACTGATGGTCCCTTGCTGCAGTGCTATTTCAATTAAATTAAGCCAAGTTCCGGGGGTGACTTCCAACAGGCGAACAATAAAACGCAGCTATAAACACAAGAACGTATCAATAGCCACAGAGAATGAAAACAGCATCCCAGAACACCAATATTATTACAAGTTACTTAACACCGTGGTGCACCTTTTAAAAATAAACCTTTTAGCCTGAGCTTGTTAAAAGTGCCCCTCCTCCAGAGTAGTGGCTTGGTGTGGTTACCATGCTTGGAGTAAAAAAAAAAAGGCGATTTTTATTTCCAACACAAAATGTCGCAAAAGCAATTTTATAAAGGGTTCTCTGGACTGTCAGTTGGAACAAATGTCCAAAATCAGAGTAAAATTGAGAGTGATTTTGGTATGGTGGGAGAAGCCAACAAAAGACAAATTGAGGTCAAACATAGACTGTCCAGAAAAGGAAACCCAGAATCAATTCACTGAATGGAAAATGATTTTGTATGTCACAGACTGAATGGCAATATTGGGAGGTCTCCATTCTAAGCTTAATAGTCTCTAATACCTTATGCAAAAGAAAAAAAATATATCATCAAATATATCAAATATACCATCTACTTTTGGCCTTCCATATATCGTTTTATAAATCTCCAAAACTACCCCTCTTATTATTTTTTCTGACCTTAATAATTTCAACAGGCTCAAATTATCTTACTTTGGACACATTATGCAAAGACCCAGCTCTGAAAAAGCTTTTAATACTGGGAAAAATGAAGGAAAGAGATGAGGGTTACGAGCAGTAAAATGTAGTTACTCTGTTTCAGACGTCATGGGAGCATTGTTGGAAGACCTAAAGCAGAGGTCTCCAAACCTGGCAACTTTAAGACTTGTGGACTTCAACACTCAGAATTCCTCAACCAGCATGCTGAGTCTTAAAGTTGCCAAGTTTGGAAACCCCTGACCTAAAGGCTTGGGTTAAGGATAGCTGGTCATGGAGAAAATCTATCCAGCAGACTTAGTTGTTGAAATTGACTTGATGGTACACAATCAATGAAACAAAACAAAACACAAATACAGGTAGATTTACAACATTTACTTACCATTGGAAGATTCAATGGCACTGTTAAAAAATGTGACCTATGACTTTTTTCCACACTGTCAAACTGTTGCAGCATCCCCATAATCCCGTGATCAAAATTCAGACACTTGGCAACTGACTCATATTTAAGACGGTTGCAATGCCCTGAGGTTGTGGGATCATCTTTTGCGATCTTCTGAAAGCAAAGTGAATGGGAAAGCTTGATTCACTTAACAACGGTGTTATTAATTTAACACCTGCAGGGATTCACTTAACAAATGTGGCAAGAAAGGTCATAAAATGGGGCAACACTCACTTAAGTGTCTCACTTAAGGACAGAAATTTTGGGCTCATTATTGTCATAAATCCAGGACTACCTGTGCAGTTCTGAACCATCAGTTTGTAAACAGAGGCTATTACTGCCCTTGGGTTTTTTTTGGGGGGGGGGGATATTTCTTTCCACTGTAATTTTTACAACATTCCTGGAGACCGGAACAGTACTGTAGAGTTAAACAAAGCAGGGGAAATTATGCAAAGCAGGGCTAGTTGAAGTCTTTCCAGCCTTTTTACTAGTGGTTATCCATAAGAGGGATTGACAGTTTTCTTTGAAATAACTCTAAGGAATAAGTCTTGCAGCTGTGTGTGTTTCTGCTTCCCCATTAAATTATGTCTGGATATAGAATAGAATAGAATAGAATAGAATAGAATTCTTTATTGGCCAAGTGTGATTGGACACACAAGGAATTTGTCTTGGTGCAAATGCTCTCAGTGTACATAAAAGAAAAGATACATTCGTCAAGAGTCAAGAATCATAAGATACAACGCTTAATAATACTCATAGGGTACAATAAGCAATCGAATCATACTAGGAAACAGTCAATAAAAATCAGAAGGATACAAGAAACACAGTTACAGTCATACAGTCACAAGTGGGAGGAGATGGGTGATAAGCAGTGGTGAGAAGATTAATAATACTAGTAGTGCAGACTTTGTAAATAGTTGGACAATGTTGAGGGAATTATTTGTTTAGCAGAGTGATGGCATTCAGGGAAAAACTGTCCTTGTGTCTAGTTGTTTTGGTGTGCAGGGCTCTATAGCATCGTTTTGAGGGAAGGAGTTGAAAGGGTTTATGTCCAGGTTGTGAGGGCTCTGTAAATATTTTCACAGCCCTCTTTTTGACTCATGCAGTATACAGGTCCTCCACTGAAGGCAGGTTGGTAGTAACTGTTTTTTCTGCAGTTCTAATTACTCTCTGGAGTCTGTGTCTGTCTTGTTGGGTTGCAGAACCAAACCAGACAGTTCCAGCGGTGCAGATGACAGACTCAATAATTCCTCTGTAGAACTGTATCAGCAGCTCCTTGGGCAGTTTGAGTTGGCACAGAAAGAACATTCTTTGTTGTGCTTTTTGATGATGTTTTTGATGTTAGGTGTCCATTTTAGGTCTTGTGATATGATAGAACCTAGAAATTTGAGGGTCTCTACTGTTGATGTCTGTGTTTACTGGAAAGGCCTCTCTTCGCAGGGCTATATATGCTACTATAGGTTTCCCATAGCTATAGTTGGTGGTATTCCATTGGGTAAGCCCATTCCAGTCCAAACCAGGACTGGATTTACATTTCCAGTTAGCATTCCCTGGAATAGTTGAAACCAGAGTCCTTAGTGCTCTGAACTTGGTTATTTTCTTGCAGATGTTTCATTATCCCAATTAAAAAACATCATCAGTGCTAGTGATGATGTTACCTGGTTTGGATAATGAAACATCTGCAGGAAAACAGCCAAGCTCAGTGAGCACTAAGGACCCCTCATTTCAACCCTGAGCTACAGATCTTCCTCTTTATTGTCGAAACCAACCAACAATGAATACAGTAATTGTTTTTTTTAACTTTCTCTTACTGCTAATTGGACATGATGATTGTTCTATAGAAGAATGTTTCTCAGCCTTGGCAGCAAGCTGGCTGGGGAATTCTGGGAGTTGAAGTCCATACATCTTAAAGTAGCCAAGATTGAGAAACACTGTCCTATAGTCTTAGTTTGCAGAAAGCCATCAAATATACCATAGTCAGGGTGAAACAGAGATTGGGTTTTTCTTCTTTCCTGATCCTGTTATGTGAACACCCTTCCAGACCTTGGAAAACAGATCATTTATCTATTTATTTCCATTTGTAGTTGCTTTGCTAGAAATACCCTGGGAGAGATTACAAATGCCTGCTATTTCATGGTGTTCCATTTTTGGACTTTTCCTTATCAAGGGAAATCAACTGCCGACTTGCATCAAAAATAGCACTACATTTCAAGGTCCCAATCTGAGTTGCTTGTGCTCAAGCCTAAGCATTTCAACTCCTGTCGCCTGAATATATATAAATAAATAAGATGGATGAGCTCCAGATGTTCGGAAGAAGCCGAGTTATTGCTGTGGTTAAAATCTTGCACTTAGTAATTTTCTGACTTATCTGTAAAAAATGAAACATTAATGACCCTTTTGCTTTAATGTAAGTTCATAAACACATCATTTTCATAATGCCTCTAACTCTGCTGCATGCAAATGTGCCTATTTTCTTTGGCCCAAATGAAGCCTGTTAGCAGAACACTCAGCACCAAGAATCTTTTTTTAAAAAATGACATTCTGTTGAAATCTTGCTTTGCTCTTCTGCATATAATAGGCAGAAAATGGTACAAATGAATGCTGTATTTATGCAAAATGGTCTCCTAGCATGCAAGCTTCATCGATCAGCAGCTGGGTTCACATTTATGGCTACTGTGTAGGCTACTTAGTTACTTCAGTAAGCTTTACTGAATAATTCAGAATTGGTTAGGCTTGGACAACTATGTTGACATGCCTAGCTTGGTTCATCCATATGGCAAAGTCCAAACTGAAGAAGCCTGTAATGGTTGGTTCCCAGACGGATCATGTTCCAATAGAAGAGGTGTGGTGGATCAATGATTTAATGATGATGGAC